GTGAAATGTGAGTCATTTTGGTCCACCAGTATTCGACCTGTCCAACGTGTGAGTCGTCCGTTTTCGTTCCAGAATGAGTCTTCATTTGGTCTGTTTTCAAGCAAGCACAAAGGTCAATTTGTTGTCACAGCGTACTCAATGTACGTGGCAAAGAACGATATAAATGCCTTCGACTTGACAAGAAATTATTGAAGCGCGTCACTTTTCAGGACCGGGGATGGCTCAGTAGTTAGAGCGCGGATTTACTGACCGGAAAGTCTGTGGTTCGAACCCGACTATCTATCGCAACAGCAGACTAAGATCACATTTAAACCCCTTCCAATTGTGTGTCTACCAACTGACCGATAGGAATCCTTTCCTATGAGCTTTGACGCTGTAATATGCTACATGGACACAAACCACGTTGGGGCACTAACGACCCCAGCTACTCCGAGTTCCGGCGACAAACTGGCTCATTAATTCAATATTCATACTTCTTAACCACTACTTTAGGATTCTACTGCCCGTATCGTTCCATGTGAATGGCAGTGTAATGATCTCAAACAGTGAGTGATAACTCAATGTATGTTATGGGAAGATGGCCTATTTTCGGTACATGACTGGAACAACAAAAGTTTGATGGGTCTTAGTTAGCTAATCCAAACAGCTTTCTACTAGTCCTTGCCAGAAAAAGTGCCGATCGAAAACAAGATATAAATGTATAGGTTGTGAAGTAAGTTCTAATCAACTGGTGATAATCAAAGCGTTTTATTTTGAGAGCAATGAATCCATGCAGAGGAACCAACATTAAGCAAGCTGAGAATGTGAGCGGCTTTTGCAAGGAGTGTACCCGACATGCAGCCACGTTTACCCTCTCTCCACTTAAGCTCATGGACACCGATGAACCTAACGGTGGACACTAGTTGGTGTGAGCCTCCAGTTAAGCCTTCATCAGTTGTAGTACAAACCTATCTAATATATATATATATATATATATATATATATATATATATATATACGTTATGAGCTAATATCTACACCGAATTGATTGCCTGCGAAAGGCAAACTGGATGCACAAATCTTGGGGACGGAGCTTTTTAGACTATAGCGATTTACGTTCAGTTTTATCACCTCAGTTCACCAGTCACTCTGACCAAGGGGGTTTAGATATCCGAACCTGACTCAAGAAATCAGTGGCTGGATTAATATGGTTTTCTCACTCAGCAGAGCATTTCGGCGCATTTTCCTTCACGTCGTATCAGTGAGGCTCCATCCGTAACGTGAGCTGTGTAGTGCGGATACACGGTACACGAAAGGCAGAAAATAACCCATTGGAATTATCTTTGAAAGCGGATTGACGTTGTAAAAGGCTCAATGGAAGGAATAGACCCCTCAGAGAAAAATTTCATTGGTTCATACAGGAATGGAGACTTTGGCTATAAAACTAGCCTCGCCCGCCCTCTCAGAGTAATATTCCTCCTTACTCATTTTTCCCCTTGTCCACTACCCACTTGGTACTGTTGGGTATTGCTTGCACATGTGCGTCTGCTTTGGGTATTGCAGGACATGCTGCATAATGCGGTTTGGTAATGAAATCCCAAGCTGGTGAAATGGTAAGCTGTTGCAGAAAAATCTGGTCCAGCGTGATTTCGTTTAGGAATTCTCCGTCACGTCGACACTTCACAAACTCCCGGATCACATACAATACAAAGGTTGAGGCCTGAAGACGTGTCCAGACCAAAGCAAGTTTATCGACCCAAGGACACCAACGGGACAAAACGCAGAAAAGATAACAACCATTCACTGTAGGTCGTCGCCCAAACTCACCAACGAGCAACCGGAGGATTAAGAAAGCTGTCACATGCATAAGCCACTGAATGAGGTGAAAGCCGTGCGTTCCGTTCGTCATACGGATGACTCCGATCCATCGTTACAGGTTCCTCACCCATCACGTCGCTCTTGCTCGCCACTCCGCCATTCAACTGGTAACTCTGTTGAGCCATCACATGTTGTCTCATATTTTTGTACAAGTCCGTCTACTTGGTCTAAGACGAGTTACCCTGGTGCAGATTCCTGTGAGAATCACTTCATTTTAGGCGCTGCTGTCATCTGTACCGACATTTTGATTAGAACGAAATAATGGGGTGAATTGGAGGCTAAAACTGCGTTCGTTGTACCATTTCAGGTAATAAAGAATAATCGTTCAGCTGTACCACCTTTTCGAAGCGCAGCTGCCATGCGACTCAAAGGAAGCAGGAAGGTTGAGGTGAGGCCAGGTTGTCTTAGCTAGAATGAAGCCATCAAAAAGATGTTGTTGGATTCGAGCCACGGACTTCCTGTCGATAGTTTCGCGTACTAGCTACAGACCTAGCTTGAGATCGGCCTTTCAGGCACAAAACTGCCTGACGCAAGCTTGTCATTGACAGATAAATTCTTCATAAAAAGAATTTTATAGGGTTCTTATTCTTTGTCGTCACATTGGCGAAACACAAATGCAATAATAGTAGTAAACCGAGTTGCTTTTATTTGCCAAGTGCAGCGTCCATAATGGTAAAAAAAACTTAGTTCGTCAAAACTTAGAGGATGAAATTAACGAGACGCAAGGTGCGAACCAGGTTGGGAACGACTGCTGCGAGGTAGAATAAACAGAGCCAACAGCCTGGTGAATGCCCGTCTATGTTTGTTCGGCAGATGCACTTTTCTCCAAGTCCTTCGTGTGTCGAAAAAACTTTTGCGTAAAAATGTCGAACTTTTGCTGTATGATCAAACCAAAAAACACCATAATCTGCCTGTTCTTTTTAATTTGTTTTAATTGTTCGCCCTTCTTATTTGTTTGGCGCACGTCCAAGATGTTTGTTGAGAAACTGGGATCAGCTACATTCGTTCAGCTGTCCACTTTGATCGACGTAGGCTGCATCCGGCCAGTTTATTGGGCACCACGAACCCCTAGCTGAATCTTAGTCCTGTGCGTCAGCTAAGTTCTCAGTAGTGTATAGTGACAGCAATAGCCTCCTACATTTACGTTGGGATTTAACGGTTGATGTTATGAGCATCTCACCGTGTACATCCCTAGCCGCGAACTATCTGTCAACTCCCCAGGGCCGGTTTTTGAATGCCTGCTGTGTTTCACCACTTGCAATGAAGAACTCTGCTGCCAGTAAACAGCGCCTGAATAATTCTACGACTACATCAGTGAATCATGGCACTCGACCTATGGATATAGACAATCGTCTGCAAGCCTTATACTTATCATAGCTGGTACCAGTATTCCTCGGTTATTACAAGGAATAGCATTTGTCGTGTTTCGAAAACACAGAATTCGGTATCCGTCTATTCGAGTAGAAGAGGGAAAAATTTGGCTACAGGAGTGATACTCTCGCGCGTACAATGTAGGCTCTGGCAAGTTTCATAAATTATTATAGCTATAAAAACACCTGAAAATTTCGCCCACTGTAAGCGGTTCACGTTTTACCACAAGTCGCGACATTTTATTTCATTAGGCGTAATTGTTGACCTTGAAGATTCGCTCAATTAAACAAATCAACCGTACAGAGAATTTACATATAAAAGCAATATACATAGACATTCTTAACTATGAAGTGGTAACCTTGAAAACACTGTAGTTTCCGAGAAATCGATTCCAGTCCGCGGATACCGATCGTCCGAATGTTCGATTACGGATAGCAGCGTGCAGGTGCTAAGATGGCTGCTTTTCAGGAATGCATACCTCTCGCTGTTTAGGTCTCAACCAAGGACCTTTTTTATGTGAGTAGGGCGTACAAACACCATCATATCCTAATGAACCTGAGATATTATGCCTAGGCACGTGAAAACGTTCTCATTTTGAGCGCTGAAAACTCCAAGTACAACTCAGCAACTTTCTGGTTACATTGACCGATTTCCCCCACCTGTCGGGACTTTCCAGTTCATGGTTCAAACGTCTACACTACTGACGGTGCCTATAAAACCGAAGCTTAAATCCAGTTGTTTTCTCATTTGGAGGGACAGGACCATGGTCATCGTGTTAGAATCGGAGGAATATGGTTAAAACGAGTGATCCGGAAAAAAATTTCACAAATCTAATGTGCGCATTATTTAGGCGCCCGGTGCGGCTGGTAGTCTGGGAGAATGACTCTCTTAATAAGCCCTTGGCCCAGCTAATTAAACGGGCAAATAGCTCAGGCGTGTATACAGTTATTTTGTTCCCAGACAGTGTCGTTCGATTGATCCCTGCGTCGACTCACCACAGATAGATTGGCTGGCGTCTGTTCGTAACTGCCTTAGTATATATTTATGCGATCAGTTCGAGATAAGTCACATCACACGTGAAAGAAAGCATCCAGATCAGAAAAGAGGCCTCCCTAGAATTTCTGACCGTAGGAACGACCGATATGTCGGTCAGTCGGAAAAAATAGGGCTGAATTGTTTGAAAGAATGAAGCGCCAGCAAAACGCAGTAATCCACCTCTTAGAAGAGATGTCCCCGGGAAGAACTCTATTTTTGCGCAGCACCTTCTCTTGAAGAAGACTTCTGTGCTAACCATCAACTCCAGAATTGGAACTCGGTAGTACAGAAGAGAAAGTTGCGACTACTGGCTTTACTGGCCAGTAGTTTCGACAATAGAAACCTAGTGACCTAACTACTCCACCATTCCAGCGTTACACAAGTGTGACGGGTGTGAGAACAGTATCAATCACTATTTTTGCCTCGACCTGGATACGTGGATCAGGCGAAATCCTACATGACCTGGGTAAAACTCACAGGCGGTGGAAGAGCAATCTGAATATCACAGTGCACATCGGCATTTTGGTATGACGAAGTGACAGATAAACGAAAACAGATAATTTCAAAAATATTTGTATGTCCAGTAAAAAAACAGGGAAGGAACCGGAAAGTAAATGCATCCTAGGTTGACATTAGTTCGGATCGGAACTGGTCCTCAGCTAGCTCCAAGGGACTCATGCCATCAGCATCTTTGGCATTAGGGTCCGCACCGGCCTGCAGTAGCTGTTTTGCACCGCTCAAGTGACCGCAAGCACAAGCTGCAAGATAGGAGCATTGTAATTGGGGAAATAACGTGCCTTACCGTAATGCAGCGGAGTTTGGTTATCCTTATCTCTAGCATTAACATCTGCTGAGTGAGCAAGCAGAGTGGAGATTATTTCTGTGTATCCGCGATCAGAGGCCCAATGAAGTGGTGTCATCATCTGAAAAAAAGTAATCGACAAAAGTGGGTAAACAGCTTCAGTATACGGTCATTCGTCTCCCAACAAACTTCTTTAGAGAGACGAACCAAACCGTCGAAGGGGATCATTTCTCGCTCCCTAACGGTGAAACCTTGCCTTGGAGAAACAAGGCTTGATGGTAGTTTGTTCATCAAGAGAAAGTGTAGCTTGTACGAAACAAACGTGTTATGGATTACAAATAATCAAAAGACGCATCGAGGAGGCCCACGGTGGATGCCGAAACGCGCATTTCTTTTTATTAGCACGTGGGCAGAAAAGAGAAGGCGTGGGACAAGGTCTTCTTTTAGTAAATATAACTACACAATGCTCCGTGCGTTCTTGTTTGCGAGCAACACACACTTGTATGCCTGAAGTGATTTTGTCAAAGCTTCTGATCGTACTGCGGAGTGAGGTCAACCAAGTAGGCACCACCCACTCCTCATGTTAACGTTATTGCTACGTATTACGTTCAGTGCAGGTCTGGGAAACAGTACCGGTCACAACGGGCTGTGTGATTATCAACGTTAACTGTGTGACAGACAAGTGTACAAAACTTTGCTGAGACAACCATGGATAATGAGTAGAACGGACAAGTAACGTGAAAGGAAGTTGGTAATCTGGTCCAAGAGTCCGATCAGGCACGATTCACTGTCAAAATTTAAACAGAGGCAAACTGAAATGCATAAACTCAGAGAGAACTGCAATCGCTGTCGCAGAAGCTCCTGTTCACCGACGGAATTGAGTTGGAAGACTACGTTCATGCTTTGATTCACAAGATATTCTCGATTTCGAGCAACTTCGTCTTGTTCATTACTAAACTAAAATTCCTATCCTTGAATCGCAGGTGCTTAGAATACCTAAGAATAACTTGGGAAGTAATCAATTTGGATAAATGCTCACATGGGTCTATTTCTGAACCGTCTCTGGACCAAACAATACAAAGTACTCCGAGTATTCAGAGTGGCTACATCACCCACCACATGAAAAGAGCGGAGGATGAATATGACATCATTCATGGTGATTCAGGAGCAAAACCTTGAGCACCACACTGCCACCACATCGGTAAACTGCAGACCCCACAGCGGTATGGGACAAAGCGATTTGAACAATCAAGACAGAACAGAACCGAATGTCACCGATCCTTTCAAATTTTATCTGTTACATTTATTTGTTTATTAGCAAGTGTAATGTAGTTGCGTATAATTCCTCCCTTTTAGAAAGGTGGAGCAATGCACGCCTAAGAGGTGACCAATGTTGTGCGTTAGGACGATCAAGAATACGCGCACTCACTCCATAGCTGTATGGACGAACTCCCAAAACTTGGTAGTCATAGACATCAAGTTCCGGACAACCAGGTCTTGCTCACATCTCTAACTACTCAGAGAAGTTTTCAACTGAAATCACTACCGGTTAACTTTTTGCGTCGCTGAGTGACTGAACGCGACCAAAACGTGCCCCATCGTAGACCACAGCATTTATGAACTGGCCAAACAGTCATAAGCAGGGTGCCACAACAACGGTGTCTCTATAATTTCGTCGTCCTACGGCAAATAAGTGCACTGATTACGGAAGACACGAAGTTTGGGCTACTCAGTCGAATAAATTTCGGAAAATTCATGTTTATCCACGATGATATTTATCTCCATCTCAATGACGCTCATAAGCTGTTGTAGACATAAGGTGTCAACAGAATTGATTTCAGGTAAATGCACTAAACTAAGGTAAATAATGAGGACAACCCTTGGTTTAGTTGTTTTTACCCAAATTCGATACGGCACTTCTGGTGAACTGTTTATTTCGTCCTGTAACCTATCCTGACCTAAAGCTGCTACCTTGATGTTGTGATCGGATTTGAGTGTTCAAAATTCCCGCGGGCTAAACTGGCTAGAACTTCGTTCCACGAGGTGCAACCATGCCAGGAGAGCCAAAAGGGAGCAGTCAGACTAAACATTGTACTACGAGTAACTGTACTACGACGTAGTCTGGGGGTAAAGCTGTACTGTACTCTGCAATAGGGGTATGAAGGCCAGTAAGTTGTTTCTCCCAAGCGACCAGCATGTCCATGTTCATGGACAGAAAAATGCTGCCTTCCCCCGAAGAAGGAAGGGCTAGAAAAGGTCGGCCTTGAGAGCCACACATTCCGATCCCCCAACGATCGAATGTGACCGCCGACACATTATTCAGTACGGTCGAAGTACTTTTGAAACTAAAGAGTCCGGTACCACTCAAAAGGCATCTGTTACGCGCAGCCGCGTCAGGAGAGAGACACTAATGCTTTACTCGCTGTGCCCCCGGGTTAGGCTAGCTTCCTGTCACCTAGCAAGTCAGACTATTGGGTTATCGGTTCTGAGAAAGGAAATGAAAGAAAACCCCACTGCCCACTACCTTGCGGGTCAGACTTTTGAGTCACAGGTTGGAGGCAGGGTCCTAGTACGAAACCCTAGATCCTCTCAATGCCTTCTGGGTCAGACCTTCGAGTCAAAGGCCCAAGGTGGAATACCTCCATCAAGCCCCCTTTCTCGACCTGGGCAACCGGAGAGTATCAATTACCCGAATAGCTCTTTATCCACCGATGCCCATCCCTAATCCCTTCCCAGCACACAAGCAAACGCTGCTGAGTCACCTGACTGTCAGTTATCTGACCAATGTGATTCATGTAACCCGCTGCCTAGTATCGATAAACAAAATACCTTGTTGAACCCACGAGATCCCTTCTACATAGGATCTTTTAATGACCGTACTCTATGTCGAATTCGCAAACAGGCAACACTCGCCGAAACCTTTTACTCTCTTAAAATTTATGTTGCGTGTCTGAAACATGCACACAAGACCCAAGCGTGTTTATGAATCTTGAAACGCCAAAGTGGAAATCAGCTCTTTCAAATTTCTCACTCCGATGATCCAGAATCGATGACTCATAGAATACATAATGTGTGAGTTGCACTCAGCCCTAGAACTGAACGCGCTTTGCTGGTTTGCATTTCAGTGAACAGTCGTCTTTGCACCTTTCGGTTATCCAGCTCAGTCAAGCTCAATACCTTTGAATATCAAAAACGGTATCCGTTTATAGTGTAGACGTACACCCCAATAGAGTGCATTTTTGACGCTGAGAAGGATACTTTCTACTGAGAGATATCCGGGCCCATTCGTCGAGCAAGAACCGCTAGTACTCTCATCCTTGCGGCTGATAGGAATGCCCGATTCGGTCGTCCGAGCCCCTTGGAATCACATTTGGGCGGTCGATTCGGAGTCGATACTCGTCGCACAGGCAACGGAGGGCGACTTCTCCAGTTGTGGTGTAATCATCAAATGTTTCTGGCCAGTACGAACTTTCAGTATAGATATTCACATCATGTGGCTTAGCGGCAACCAAGTGGATAACTTGGTCATCAATTACCGGTGGAGAGCCACAATTCAAGAGTGCCGTTCCTTCTGAGGCACATCACTTGATTCCGATCACGCCATGGAGCGTGCAGGCCTGAGAGTTCGTTTCCCTTCAGGCCCTCGCAAGTCATCAAGAAGTATGTCAATCCACCAGCTTCGAAGAAATACCATAGCTAAATACTATCGATCTGAGCTAGCTCAACAGCTCTACGGTAGACCAACACTGTGCTTTTAGTGAGCACGTGGATGAAGTGTGAAACAATCAAATAACCACTGCATATCGTCGAGATCGCTAGTCCTGATTGATGCCAGAAAATCCGTACTAGCCGGCAATGAGTACGACGGCGCACGCAAATCCGTCAAAGGCCAAACAGTGAAGAGTCTAATGAAGGAGTAGGAGCCCTCGTGAACATCGAAATCTAGGGAGATAAAACCTTTAGCTACCGGAAACAGTTGTGCTCTATATCGACTGGTCCTAGGAATGCAGATATCAGTGAAACGATCCCAAAAAACGCCGACTGGGAAGATTAGCCAAACACTTCGAAGGACGGTTTAGCTGGCCTCTTGCAACACACCTGGAGACAGTTCATACGGGCGAATGTAATGTAAACCTTAATCGTCCTTCAGAAGAAATAAAGTACGCAATAACGGTACTCCAACGTTACAAGGTATCAGGACCGGATGGTATATATCCAGTCCTTTTCAAAGAAGATAGAGAACCCCTTGTGATCCACCAAGAAAGCTCAATGGTGCGATACGGAACGAAGAGAAAGTGCCTGCTGCATGAAGCATGTCGACAGTTATTCCTATCTTCGAAGGTTGACTGAACACAGGACGAGAGATCCGTGAAATCCAAGCTGGGCTCCGCCCTGCAAGAGAATGCATCAACAATTCCAACCTATGTCAGATTCTGGAATACCTACACTGCTTTCAGCAACTAACGGTGATGGTCTTTTTTATTTGAAATCTGCCTCTGGTCCGTCAGGCCCTGTGGGAGTATCTGCGGAGCAAAGATCTTCCCAATGAGTTATTGACCCTCCTTAAGACGCTGTATTCCAACTCTCGTAGAAGTGTGAAGGTATACGGGAATCTCTTCTCGGTTCACTACATCAATTGGTGTGAGGCGAGGCTGTCCTCTTTCAACCCTTCCTGTTCAAATTCGTCACCGACCCGATTATGGAAAACTCACTACTAGCCTCTACAACATCTGTGGGGCCCAAGTGCTCCCGTGGCGTTCGCTCACACATATCGAGTACTCAGACAACATGGCTCTTCTTGGATCTGACACCGTGGTGATACAAAAAACACTAAATAACCTAAATAATTTCGCATGCGCTTCACACCTTAGAAGTGTAAAGTGCTGCTGCAAGACTCGGTAGGATCGAGTCCTCAACTCATGTTTGCGGACGAGCCAATTGAGGTAGCAGACAAAAATCTGTCAACCTGGGTAGCTGTATCATCCCCGATGGTCTTGCGAAGGACTATACTTCTGTCCGGATTGGGAAGACCAGAGTAACCTTTGTGGACCTGCATCACCTGTTGTGTATCCATGACATGAGCTTATCTGTCAACGGTTCAATTACAGTGCTGAGGTGCAC